TATTGGAAAGAGATACGAGTCATCCAAGTAAGTGCTTTGATTGTTTAATTGATATTGTGATATAGAAATCATGTTTAGGTTGTTACTTTGATTCCTAGTACATGTTAGGATGTTTTGTTGCTTTTCCTAGTATCATGTTTAGGGTAATTTGCTTATATCAATTATGATTTCTATGATGCTTCCTATTTTCTTTCCTAATATTAATGTTAGCATCATGTTAGGGTTAAAGCTTTGATTTTTTGTATGTTTATGACATGCTAGGGATTGTTATTAATCTTGTTAGTATCATGCCTAAGATCTTGCTATTATTATGATTTATTTTTAACATGAACATGATTATTGGTTTTATAATTGTTATAATTATTATTACTATTATGATTATTGTTATGTTACTTTATATTTATTGTTATTGCTTGATCGCACCTTTTATGCATGTTTAAAGGGAATTGGCACTTGTAATCACGCTTAATAAGATAACTAATAATCTTGTTATAGGTTAATTTGATTATAATTCAAGTGATCGCCAATAATAGTTTTATTTGTGCATTAATATTCAACCAACATATATAAACAGGTTTAGGGTAAACCTATTGATTGCATGTTAGTCAGAAAGCGCACATGAATACGAGAAGAATAAAGTAGTGGCCTATTATTAGGGCAAGTTCAATCTCTTTTAGGTTGGATTTTTACTTTCATCCCTAAACTTCTAGTCTTGATTCCAGACCTATTGGAGTAAAAGATCTCCTGGATTGTTAAGGGGTGTAACCTTCACCCTATGAACAGTTTACAAGTTCCAAAAACTTGTTGGCGACTCTTTTCCTCTAGCTTCTTTCCCTTTGGACGCCACCATGCTTAAGTGTATGATCACAATGGGGTTCAGGTTTGTGGTAATTCTTGAAATATTCCCTACAACTTATTACTGATTTTTCTTTGCTTTGTTCCCAGCCTACGCACTTGGACGTGATGGGATTTATGAAGCTGGTTGACGCTTTGAAGTACTGCATCATCAAGCTTCGACGTGGTGTGAGTATTCGGGGTGGTTCTGGCGATGTTCTCGAGGTATGTTCACTTTTTTTCCATAATTACCATTTATTTCTATCTTTCATCATTGACATCTTTTCATTTTGTGTCTTTTAGGAGCGACAGAGGTCTTGCTCGCGCTCGAGATACAGAGACTCGGACGAGGGGGAGCCTAGTCGCGGTAGACGATCTCTTGAGGTTCGTCGGCGTTCTCAGTCTCAGCGGCAGCCTCGACCTTCTCAGCCGTTTTAGGAGGCTTAGTGGCAGCAGCCTCAGCCTTCTCAGCCATTCCAGCATTTTTAGGGTCAATGGCAGCGACCTTCATCTTCCCAGCCTTCATAGCCTGAGTTCAGGCCAGTCATTACTCCAGTGGACCAGGGTTTATACTCAGCTCCATTGTGTGGGTTGCTTCCTCCATCGGTGCCAGCTTATTTTCAGTTCCATTGTCTGGGACGATGCCTCCACCGACGCTTCCTACCTCTTGGAGTCGGCCTACGTTGTTTGCCACTTGGACAGGTCCTACTTTGAGTTTTTCTACTACTGGAGCTCTAGGGACTAGTAGGGATACTACTCCTCGTACCCAGATGATAAAGGGACTCTTTGGTCCGCCGTTGCCGTATTCGCAGGATGGAGATGACACTGATCCTCACTTTTCTAGTTCTACAGATTTTTGACCGAGGGTTTTTATTATTTACTTTTGTTGATGACACTTGACACTATTTATGCATCATGATTCACTTTGTATATTTTATTCACAGTTTATGCCATTATTAGTGTGTATTAGTGTGTGCTTGAGACTCATTGTGTGTGATTGTGTATTTATTAATGACGCGAAGAAAAAATTGTAAGTGGAGGGTACTGACCTTCTGTAATACCCCATATTTTCATACGTATTTTCCTAATTAATTATTATTTTCTAAAAAGGGTATTTTAGTAATTCAACTTACTATTTATATCTTGGAGCCAAAATGATATTTAAATTTTGGCGCCAAAAGTATTTTAAAAACAAATTATTATTTTTGATAATATTTATTATCCACTTATCCTATTTTAAAAAACGGATTATTTATATATTTCGAATATTAAGGCAAAAGCTATATTTTATTATTATTTTAATAAGTTCAAAAATCCAATTTATTTGACTAATAAATTTCGGATTTTCCTATGTGAAAATCTGATTTTATTAGTTAAATTATTTGGTGAATATTTGGTATTTTATTATTTTATTATTTAATTATTTATTATAATAATTATTATTTACACAATTATTTTAATTCCTTAAAACTAGAAAATTAATTTCCTAAATACTAAATAGGAGGGCCAAAAATATGGTCTTAGGAAAGCTCAAAAATTTCGGGCATCTCATGTAGATTTTGGGAAAAATATTTTGGTAATTTGTATTATTAATTATCTCCTTAAAATCTCCTATTTTCCTTAATTCAAATTCTCCATCTTTTAAATATCCAATCATTATATTTTCTTGCCATTCATTATTCTTAATTATTCTCCAATTAATTCCAATTTCCTTAATATTTTTCATGACATACATACCTTCCATATTCAATTATACACAATCTCCTTAATATTAAAATTTTCCTTAAATCTATACTCACTTCTTCAAGTAATCCCTTAAACCCTACTTACCATAATTCTTCCTAAATTTTCCTACCCTAATTCTTGCATGAGCTAGCCTATAAATACCCTTTCATACCTCTCACATTCTTCACACCAATTATATTCTTTTCTTCTCCTCAATTTTACACAAATTATCCCGTTTATCTTTGAAGCCAATTTTTGGGCATTTTTTTTCAGTTTTGGGGTATTGACGTTTCAAATAAAATTGTTCCTCTTGAAAAATCCTTGATTTTAGGCTCAAGAATCACCCAATTCGGAGTTATATCGAAGGAGTTATAGCCTCTGCAAGTTCTGTCTTCTCTTTCCAACACAAACTAATTCTTTTTTCTCCTTGGTTTCTTATCTTTCTTCTCCTTTTCTCTTATTCAACTATTATTATTATTATTATTATTATTATGGGAGATTAATATAAAATTATTATGCGTAGTTTTAATTATATAAAATCATATTTTAATAATGTTTATGTGAAATTAATTTAAAAGGTTCATGTACATATAGTTAGGAGGGTTTAATTTAATTGTTTGTGATTATTTGATAACCTTATATTAATTAAGGTTATATTTATTTGTATATTGTTTTTTTATCAAGCTACTTGAGAGTTCTTTTGAAGTGATTTTTGGCTAAGCAAGGATCAAGGTACGTTAGGTGGCTAGATAAATTGAAAGTGATCGATTTGAATGAACATGTTTGAATGATTTATTTTTCTTGAATTAAATTGACTTGAATTATGGTTTATGAAATAAAAGTATGTTTAAAAGATTGGTTTTAATAATTGAATTGGAGTATTGATTTTTCATAGCATATTTTGATTAATTAATTTATTATTCATGTTTAAAAAGGGATTGATTTTAAAAGCATGTTGAATTTATTAAAAAGGAGTTTGGATTGTTTTCATTAAAGGTTAAATTATTGGATTTAAAAGAGGAGTTATTGAACCATTGAATTATTTTATAAATACTTTATAAGCGTGGTAGTAATCCCAGTATGCGGATTTGGTTTATTGATAAGGTCTTGGACTTTGTATGACCGGGTCTTTCCTCAAGAATAGCCTTCTAACATAAGGAGACTAGCTTGGGGGGTGTGCACACTTGGTAGAGAAATTGGTTTAATTGGTTTCATTGGTTTTATTGGTTTATTATGAGGAATTGGTTTCTATAATATGAGGAATTAGTTTCTATAATATGAGGAATTGGTTTTATAATAATTGGAATTGGTTGTATTGATTATTGAGATTGGAATATTGAGAAATTTGGTTTTGAATCATGAGTTTGAAATTATTGGAACTGGTTTTAAATAATGTTTGCAAATAAATTGAGTTTAATTATCTTGCACTTACCGTACTTAGCATATTTTGCTAACTCGTACTTCTTATTTGTTTTGGTTCACCCTGTTTACCGTAATGGTAAGTAGTGTCATTTCAGGTGAAGTGAATAAAGTGATGCATTGGAGTCCTGGGATTTGATTTCACTAAATTAGGAATGTTGGCTTTGTATCCATTTTGAGTACTCATATTATTGGTTACTATTTCTAGTTATTATTAATAAGAAGAGTTTTGAAGTTTCCGCTGCAAAGTATTGTTTTGTTTAGTAAGTTGAGTAGCCTTGCGTAATCACGCGACGTTAATACGCCAAAGTCTACCTCTACGGTATAATTATACGTATTATACTGGTATTTCCGTAGACGAAGATTTGGGGGTGTTACAAAGTGGTATTAGTTTTCAAGGTCCTAAAAAGATTAAAATTGGAATAGTAATTAAAATTGTGGGTAGACTTAAGAAGGCATATAGGATAGATAGAGTTTCGCATTTGTGTGTGAGTCAAAAACCTTATTTTACTAAAAAACTATTTTCGTATTTGTGGAAAGATGAAGGAGAAAAGGATTCTTGAGTTCTATACGGAGGCCTATAATGGGTACGACTCTCTGTCTAGGAAAGGCTCGCCTCAACGTCGTAGGTAACTTTCCTAGGAGACGCAAGCTCGACCGTCCTTTAATCTTGATTCAAGTATATATTTATTATTTTCGAAAATAAAAAGAATTGAAATTATTTAAAACTTGAGTATGCGATTATGTGTGCATTAAAGTTGGTGTTAAAACACCTTGAAGTGAGTATAGGGGGGCAGAAATTTTGTAGTATTACCCGTAGTTGAGTGATACTTGGTTAATTGGTTTATTGAGTTATGAATTGCTTATTGCAAATGGAATTTCAATTAGATTGTTTGTGTGATTTGGCATATAATTAATTATTTTGCATGTGTGTGTGAAACAGATGGAAAAGATTGATCAAATAAGACATATATTTTGACATTCATAACTTGAAAGATAGTGGAGTCTCAGTTAGTGAGTTCATGACTGGAATTTTTACTTTGGCCTTGACTCTTTATGAGAAGGATGGTGAGGAATTCTTGACCCAACAACCTTGGATGGTCCTTTTGGCTTTAGCCCATTTACCTAAGACTAAGAAATACCAACCTCGTTTTGACAAATATGGGGATGTGATCAAGGAAGACGGAATGTGGAATGAGAAGCATCATCATGAAGGGAAATGGTTGGCAACCATGTCTAGCCCTAAGAGGGACTTGCACTATGTGGAGCGCAAGGATGAACCTAGGAGGAAATCTGTGAAAATTCCCGCGATCCCAAAAGATCAAACCTTTGTACCTAATGACCAAATGTACTTCTTAAATGCCCAAGTACCTTTTTCATACCCAAAGAAGCGACATGAGTATGTGGAATCTAGTGATGAGTCCATACCACCTCTTGGTAGGAGCAAGCATTACCGTTCTCTTAGCCAAACTCCAAGCTATGAATCTTCCAAACAACCTAGCCTAAAAGCCCATTTCCATGTTGCAAAAAGGCCCAAAACTCGTTCTCAAACTGCAAAAAGAAAGAGCCCAAAACCCCAAAGCTTCTTCAAGCCAACCTCGTGGGGATGTAAGCCCAACAAAAAGCCCTAGTTACACTCCTGGCCCAGACAGAAATATAAGTAAATCTGGGTCAAGCTCATCAGGCCTTATTCCAAGCTATAGTGGTTATAACCCAACTCTCATGGCCAAACCAAGTAATAGAAGTGATGAACTAATTATGATCCTCTTGAAGATGGTTATGCCCATAGTGTTATTTGATTGTTTTTTAACTATGTTTTTGTTTCATGTTTCAATAATTGTTCTAAAAGAGAAAGTTGTATTTTCATTAGTTATTAATAAAATAAAATGAATTATTTGAAATTTCTCTATGTTGTTAAGTGAATTAAATGCTTATATGATAAAAATTGTCTTAATTTTCAAAGTGTGGTAATTAAACCTAGGAAGTATGTCTCCAAGAATAAGGGATAAAATAAGGAGTAAGCGCACTGGTTCCAAAGTTGGAAAGATCCTTAATCAGTTAACCCATATACTTGAGAACATCACGAAAGTGGTGAAAAGGGAACACCGAAATCCCAAGCTTGATGCCTATAGTGAAGTCTTTAAGAGGGTAGCTGCAGCTAAACCATCTGTTTACTTGGGAAGGGAGGACCCAACCAAACTGGATTAGGGAGTTTGACAAGCTGTTTGATGCTATCAATTGCCCAAGTGAGCTGAGGGTGAACAACGGGGTTTACTACTTGAGGGAGGAAGCTGACTTATGGTGGGCCCAAAGAAAGGATGAGTTGCTGAAAAGACCAAGATTTGGGTGGGATGAGTTTAAGGAAGCCTTGAGAGAAACGTTTTACCCTTCCTACCTTAGAAAAAAGAAGTGCATGGAGTTTACTAACCTGAGAATGGGAAACGTATCAATCAGTGAATACTACAATAAGTTCATTGAGTTGATGAGGTTTGCCCCAGAAGTAGTTCTTACTAAAACCATCAAAGCTCAGAGATTTGAACAAGGCCTAACCTTTACCCTTCAAGGGAAGCTAGGGGGAGTGACCTTTGAGACCCTGGATGAAGTCTATGGCCGTGCAGCCCATCTGTATGGAATTAAGGGGAGAAAGATAGAGCAGGTAGGAGAGAAAAGGAAGAACCCGGACTCTTTTCACGGGGGTGAAAAGAGGCACAAGCCCAATGGGAATTACCAAGGGAATTCTAGAGATAGGAGGGACAACAAGGGAAACTTTGGGAAGGGTAATGGAGGACAGTCGTCCAACCATAAGGGGAATGGGAACTAAAGGGAGAGAAACCCAAGAGGAGGTATTTCTGCAAGCGGTGTGAGAAAGATCGCCTAGGGAAGGATTGTGAGGGAAACCCAGTAACTTGTCGTTACTGCCAGAAGTTGGGACACAATGAGTATGAGTGTTTCAAGAAGGAAGCTGATGTTAAGTCTGGGAAGGTGAAAGATTCTAGTGCACCTAGTAAACCACCTCAGCCTAGTGGACCTACAACCAAGGCTGGAACCGGTAGCGGTGCGGGAAGTGCCCCAAAGGGTTGTGTGTTCCTGATGAATAGCCGTTAAGCTGAGTCTTCTAGTGATGTGGTAATTGGTGTTTTCTTTATAAGTTCTTTTCCTATGAAAGTCTTGTTTTATTTAGGGTCGTCACATTCTTTTATTTCTAAGAAAGTAGTTGGGAGTCTCAGGTTAGAGAGTACCGAGTCAGTTTCTCTAGATGTGTCTATTCCGTCTGGGAAAGTGAGGAGTTGTTCGAGATTGTTTCTGAGTGTGCCTATTTCCATCTCTGGGGTAGAGTTTCTGGCCAATTTGATCGAGTTTGACTTGAATGACTTTGATGTGATTCTGGGTATGGATTGGTTGGGAAAGTATGAAGCAAAAATTGATTGTGCGGCTAAAAAGGTCACCTTGACTAGCCCAAGTAACACCAAGTGGTGTATAAGAAGGAAGGGAAAAGCTTAGGGTTGAGAATCGTGTCTGCAATGCAACTACAAAAGCTGGTTAAGAAGGGATGTCCTTTGTTTTTGTGTAGTGTTCAAGAGGTTGAAAGTAAGGAAAAGAAAGGCGAAGAGGGTATTCCTATTGCAGAAGAGTTTCAAGATATGTTTCCAGATGAGATTCCTGGTATGCCACCAGTAAGGGATGTTGAGTTCACTATCGACCTAGTGCCTAGAACTTGACCTATTTCTAAGGCTCCATATAGGATGGCTCCAGCTGAGTTGAGGGAGTTGAAGACCCAATTGGATGATTTATTGGAGAAAGGTTATATTAGGCCTAGTTCATCACCCTAGGGAGCTCCTGTATTGTTTGTGAAGAAGAAAGATGGAAGCATGAGGTTGTGTATAGATTATCGAGAGTTGAATAAGGTGACAGTGAAGAATAAGTTTCCATTACCAAGGATCGATGATTTGTTTGACCAGTTGAAGGCAACAGGGGTCTTTTTAAAGATAGATTTACGATCGGGATCACCAGTTGAGAATTTTGGAGCAAGATATTGCAAAGAGTTCTTTTAAGACTCGTTATGGTCACTATGAGTTCACAGTGATGCCATTTGGTTAGACCAATGCACCTGCAGTGTTCATGGATTTGATGCATAGGATTTTCAGGCTATACTTTGACAAGTTTGTGGTAGTGTTTATTGATGATATTTTGGTCTATTCAATGGATAAAGAAGAACATAAGGAGCATTTGAGACAAGTGTTGTCATGTTTGAGGGAGCATCAGTTGTATGCCAAGTTTTCTAAGTGTGAGTTTTGGTTGGAGAAAGTAGCATTTTTGGGCCATGTGATTTCCAAGGACGTATTTGCAGTAGACCCAAGCAAGATCGAGCTGTGAGTGATTGGCCTACCCGAAAGAATGTATCGGATGTAAGGAGTTTCTTGGGTTTAGCTGGCTATTACAGAAGGTTTGTGAAGGATTTTTTAAGGATTTCAAAGCCCATGACAAGTTTGATGAAAAAGGAGCATAAGTTTTTGTGGACTCCAGAGTGTGAGGAGGCGTTTAAGATCTTGAAAGAAAAGTTAACCACAACACCTGTGCTGGCTTTGCCGGATGAAAGTGATCTATATGACTTGTATAGTGATACATCGAAGTTGGGATTAGGATGTGTGTTGATGCAAAATCGAAGAGTGATTGCTTATGCCTCAAGGCATTGGAAGGTTCACGAAGGGAATTACCCAACCCACAATTTTGAGTTAGCTTCAATAGTGTTTTCCGTGAAGATTTGGAGACATTACTTGTATGGGGTGACTTGTAGGATTTTCACAGACCATAAGAGTTTGAAGTACATTTTCACCCAGACGCACTTGAATGGGAGGCAGAGACGATGGTTGGAGTGTATGAGTGATTATACATTAGATATTTAGTATCATGGGGGAAAGGCTAATATGGTGGCAGATGCTTTAAGCAAAAAGTCAGAGCATACGTTGAATTTGATGGTAGTACCAGATCAGTTGTGTGTAGAATTTCAAAAGTTGAACTTGGAGGTAGTGGGGCATGGTGAAGTGGCTATGATGTTGAATGCCTTGGTGGTTCAACCATCCATTTATGATGAGATAAGGGAAATTCAATTGGAAGATGAGAAGTTAAAGACAATAAAGAAGAAGATTGATGAAGGAGAAGTGTTGGATTTCACCATTGGTGATGAGGGAAGTATTCGATTTAAGGGAAGATGGTGTGTACCGTAGAATTGTGGTGATCTGAAACGACGATTGATGCAAGAAGCCCATAATTCTCCTTATTCAATGCATCTTGGAGGGGATAAGTTGTATAAGGACATGAAGAAAACTTTTTGTTGGCCCAATATTAAGAGAGAAGTGGTTGAATTTGTGGCTAAGTGTTTAACATGTCAGAAAGTGAAGATTGAGCATCGTAGACCTCTAGGAAAGGTCCAATCCTTGGAGGTTCCCAAGTGGAAATGAGATTCGATTTATATGGATTCTGTTGGAGCCTAGCCAAAGACCAAGGCATGGAATGACACTATTTGGGTAATAGTGAACAGGTTGACGAAGTCAACATCGTTCATACCCATGAGAAGTACTTGGACCATGGATCAGTTGGGAAGAGCATATGTGAAGTTTGTGGTGAAGTACCATGGGGTACCCACGGATATTATTTCGGATAGAGATTCAAGATTTTTATCTAACTTTTGGCAAAGTTTGCAAAAGGTGATGGGAACTAAGTTGTTAATGAGCATAACATTTCACCCAGCGACAGATGGTCAAACGGAAAGAACGATTCAGACATTGGAGGACATGTTGAGAGCTTGTGTGATGGGGTATTAAGGGTCTTGGGAAGACCACCTGGATTTGATAGAGTTCTCTTACAATAACAGTTACCATGCAAGCATTGGAATGGCACCGTTTGAAGCATTGTATGGTCGGAAGTGTAGAAGCCCAGTGTGTTAGAATGATATAAGTGAGACTATGGTTCTTAGACTAGAGATAATCGAGGATATGGTTAAGTAGACCAAGTTGATCCAAGAAAAGATTTAAGCAGCTCAAGATCGACAGAAAAGTTATGCTGATTTGAAAAAGAGGGAAGAGGAATATGAAGTGGAGAGAAGGTTTTGTTGAAAATTTCACCCATGAAAGGGGTGATGAGGTTTGGAAAGAGAGGAAAGCTAAGCCTAAATTACATAGGGCCATATGAGATCACTTAGAAATTAGGGAAAGTGGCTTATAAGTTGAATTTGCCCAGTGAGCTAGAAAGGGTTCACAATGTGTTCCATGTGAGCCAAATTCGAAAGTATATTCCTAATGTGACACATGTGTTACAATCAGAAACCATTGAGAAGGATGAGAATTTGACTTATGAGGAAAGACCAGTAAAGATTCTTGACTCTAAGGTCAGGAGCACAAGGAACAAGGATGTGAGCATTGTAAAAGAATTGTGGTCAAATTAGAAAACTAAAGAGGCTACATGGGAAGCTGAGGCTGATATGAGGAAACGCTACCCAGAGTTGTTTGCCTAAGGTTAGTGGTCGAGTTACGGGGGCGTAACTCCTCTTAAGAGGGATAGAGGGCGATAACGTTTCGCGCGTCTGCTTTTCGAGTCATTTTTGAGTGATTTCGAGTCTTATTTAAGTTTGGTTTAAGTCTTGAGTCAAGTTACGTTGTGCATGAACCAATAATTTCAAAATGATTTTCGGCTAAGTTTCGAGTCGAAACTTATTTTAAGGGGGATAGACTGTAATACCCCGTATTTTCATACGTATTTTCCTAATTAATTAATTAATTATTATTTTCTAAAAAAGGATATGTTGATCTTAAGTTTTGATGATGACTCAAGGAACCTAAGCAAACCCATGGGGGCTTTAACCTTTGTCTATTAGCTTCGATGTATTGACAGGTTTTATATGCAACGAAGTTCTAGAGTTAGAATGGAGCATGGAACAAGTCTAAAGGATGAGCTATGGACGAGCATAGAAGACAATCAGAAGCCAAGTTCCTTGAGTGAGGAACTGAAGCTCCAGAGTCGAAGCTTCACTGTGTTCCAAGAAGTCTATTGTATCTTTATTATTTATTTTAGGCTTCTTGTATATATGTTAAGTACATTGTTAATTGATAGGATTTAAGTGAATTTAATTTCAGTTTATAAAGATTTTATTTTTCCTTTCTTTAACAAAGATTTAATTTAATTTCGGAAAAATATCTTTTAAGTAAAATATCTTATTTATTAAAAGATTTTATGTTCTGATTTTATCCTAACATTTTGGAAAATCTGACTTGGTAAAACTATTTTTCAAACGGCTTTTACTTGGTAAAGGAGGTTGAGAAAATATAGGAAACCACTTCCTTGCTGTGCGCTTCAGCTTGTTGCCCAAGCATCCACGAACTGCACTTCCTTATTTCATGGAAGTTGTGGTATGGTGGGAGCTAAGGAAAACGTAAGGTTTTCAAATGCTTTCCTCCTATATAAATAGGAGTAGTTTTCTTTTTTGAAAAGTACACTTGAGCATTACGATTCTTAGCTTTTCTAAAAGAGTCAAAAATCCACTTAAGTCCTTGAGTGTCTTTGTACTTAGCATCTTAGTAGTTTTATATTGAGTTGTATTGGGGTAGAGTTTGGGTAAACTCTAGAGTGTGAAATTGCTTTGAGTGAAGCAAGGAGAAAGAGAGAGATTCAAGAGCTCAACTGATTGAGGGATCAGTTGAGGGGGAACTTAAGTTCGTAGAGGAATTTGAGTTTAGAAGTCTTAATTTGTAATAGGTTGTTTGCCCTATTATTATTAAGAGTTGTGATTAAAATCCCTTGTGGTCGTGGTTTTTCTTCTTGATTAGGGCCAAGAAGTTTTCCATGTAAAATCTCTCTTGCACTTTAAAGTTTTGTTTAAGTTTATTTAAAAATTCCGAAAAAATTACCCTACTTCCTCAACAATACAATTCACCCCCCTCTTATTTATTTCATTTGAGTCAACAATTGGTATCAGAGCAGGTTCCTCGAAGAAATCAGGAAACGTTGACGAGTTATGTTCCTGGAATCAAGATGAACAATCACGAGAAACTGGAAGAAGGTTACTCTACGCAGCGTCCTCCTATGTTCAATGGAAAATTCTACACCTATTGGAAGAACAGGATGGAGATTTTTATCAAAGCCGACAACTACCAGGTTTGGAGAGTGATCGAAGTTAGTGACTTTGAAATTACCAAAACCACTGGTGAAAATGAGGTAGTACCTAAACCCATGTCTGAATTTGATAAGGAAGATTTTGAGAAAATGGAAATTAATGCACTTGCTGTTAAATTACTTCATTGTGGACTTGGACCAAATGAACACAACTGTGTTATGGGTTGTAAAAATGCTAAAGAAATTTGGGATTTACTTCAAGTCACTCATGAAGGAACTAACGAAGTGAAACGCTCTAAGATTGACTTGCTTATGTTAAAATATGAACGGTTTGAAATGCAACGAAAAGAATCAATTCAGGAAATGTTAACTAGATTTACTAACATTACTAATGAGCTTGTTTCTCTTGGAAAGCAAATCCCTATTGATGAGAAGGTCAGAAAAGTTCTAAGAAGCCTCCCCCAAGATGAGAGATGGAGAGCCAAGGTGACAGCCTTACAAGAAACAAAGGACTTCACAAAGTTCAATATTGAGCAACTTGCTGGTTCCCTTATAACCCATGAGCTGCACCTAGGAACAAGCAACAGTGAAGGAAACCGAGGAAAAGGCTTGGCTCTCAAAGCTGGAGATCAAGAAGACTCTGAAGTCGATGAAGAAGAGGTTGCTATGTGGTGAGAAGGTTCAAAAGAATGTTCAACCGAAACAACAAGTCAAGGAACTTCACCAAGAAACCCTCTACTTCAAAAACTGACTCTGGTTGTTACAAATGTGGATCTCTAGAACACTTTATTCGTGAGTGTCCACTTTGGGATACAGAGAAAGGTAAAGGGAAGGCAAAGGAACAAGGTAAGAGCAACTACAACAAAACTCCTTTCAATAAAACAGACATTAGGAAGGCTATGATTGCTGCCTGGGGAGATTCTAAAAGTGAGGATGAACAGAAACAACCTGAAGAAGAAACAGCTCATCTATGTCTGATGGCCAAACGTGATGAAAAGGCTTACAATGATGAGCTTGCTAAAGAGGTATTCCTTGATCCTAATGTGCTTAAAACTTATACTAAAGATGCTCTCATTGATTTAGTGTTTGAATTAGAAGATGACTGGACTCACACTAGTATTCGTCTAGGTGAATGTCAAAGAGCTCTCAAAGTCAGCAAGGAACACAGTACGTGGATTGAGAATCAACGAACTGATGTTCAAAGTAGATTTTTTGAACTTTTTGACAAAAATCTTCTATTAAAAGAAATGAATGAGAAACTCAAGTTTGAGAATATCATGGTTAATGTAGAATTGACTCAATACAAACTTGCTAATACTGAACTGTCTCTAAGTTCCTCCTCTGAATCTTTGCCTAAATTTAATGAGGATTTTGAAAAATTAAAATATGATCTTGACGAGTTAAGAATTGAAAAGGCAAAATTAGAGAAGGAACTTGAGCTTCGAAAAGAAAGAAGCATTAGCCAGTTTGGAATTCCTAAGTGGATAGAGAATGCTCAAACCAAAAGAACTGAAGGTCTAGGATTCATACGTTCTAAGCATAAGGGCAAGAAAAAATATGTAGACCTGCCTAGTTATAAAGTATGTACCTTCTGTGGTAAAACTGGTCATCTTGTTGCCACGTGTTACAAGAAGGAACAGTCTGTTAGTAAGAATGTTAGGCAAGTTTGCGTAAAGAAATCTGATATTGCTTCAACGTCCAAGGAACCCAAGGAAACCTGGGTTCCTGAATCTAACCAATAAGTTCTTTTGCAGGTCCTAGTGAAGGGGAACAACACGTGGTACCTCGACAATGGTTG